TGGCACGCAAACGTCGAGGACGCGGCGATAGTAAGTCTTTCTTTCCCCATCCCCCATCCTCCCCCTCTAGGCACCTGACAACTGGAATTCCATATTGAAGGCCCAAATTTCTGGCAGAACTGTCAACTTCTGAAGCATCGATCGTCAGCGGAGCCGTGATCCTCTCTAAAATCCACCCCCTCAGCTAAGCCATTAGTGTCTAGTGAAACAAAAACTAGGTTGTTCACACAATTTATTGTTACGAGTGCTCGTCGGCTGCTGTCTCTCGCTACGAGCCATCTAGGCAGGTGGTCCATAGATCTGGCTGCCAATTACTGTTGCGTTTGCCCAGTGTACTTGTTACCCGCAAGCGGCCTATGTGCGGCGGTTAAAACCCGACCTATGTAAACAGAGGGAGCACTTGGTTAACCTAAATTTGCCTTGGTAGCATTCAGCTCGCAGAGTTACACATTTGTCCCCCTTTGGTCTTCAGAGTTTTCCCCCACTTGCGCTGCCCATGTTGTGTTTTAAGTTGCTAACATTATTTATTAGCCTATATGGCAGTTTATTAGAACCTGGCTGTTTTGCATAAACTTTTTTGTACGAAGTCAATTGCTGTATTCCTTCACATGTTTTTCATGTTATTCAGCGAGAGGCAGCAGCTGACGAGCACTCGCGAAATGTCTTGGTATCAGTAAATTCGACCATACGTGCATACTTTAAATTTGCACCAGGGAAAAATTGCTTCAAATAGCTGGGGTTGTTCTGAATTACGGCCTTCAGCATACATTTGGCCATCGACATAAGACCACGGCATGTCACATCCACTCGCGTTAATGTGGCACTAAGCTGAACAACCAATCACAGGTTTCGGCCGGATGACTTATCGATTTACGGACCGCTGCTATTGGCAGCTTCTCGCGAGCCCAACATCGGCTCTGACTGATTGGTGCACGTTGTGGGTAGGCGAGAGCACACACCACGCATTACGACTGTGATTCCGCCATTCTCTAACAATGTTAGCTGTCCCTCCAAGTCCAGGGGTCATAATGGTCACAGTGCGCTCGCCATCCTATCCACCAGAAAGCCAAATTATTATCGTATAAATCGTGCAGCCAAAAAATGTTTATATTTTCTTCACAGCGGGTCTCGTCCTCAAGATTATACAGGGTGGTCTCTCATGCAGTCAAGTGCTTCCATTCGTTTGGGAGACCAGCGGCACTCTGGAGGGTAATGTAAATAAAGTACTAATTTTGCAAAAATGTCCATCAGAGAATTCAGAAAAGCTTTAGATAAATTCTCATCCGGCCGGAAAATTTGTATGGGAACGGGGTACAAGTTCCCAGGTTGCGAAAGCTGGTCTCATGTGCACAAAAGAACTTCCTGCAAGTTCCG